ACGTCACCTGTGCATGGCGCCAGTGATGGACAGGGCTACGATGTGGAGCTGTCCCTATTGATGTCTACAGGGTCGGCGGGACTCGCGTGAAGGAAAAGAAGGACCAGACGATACTGGAGGACTTCTTCTCGTTCTCGTTCTCCCCTTTTTCCTCGATTATAATCTGTGCTTTCCTTTAGCCTATAAAAGGGAAAGCAGGGCATTCCATGAAGGGGACTCTACTAGACTCGAATCGATCGCATCACAACAGATCACACTGATTCGGACTCGAACCCTGAACTGATTAGAACACACAAGCACATAGCAGAGAAGCGACCGAGCCCTCGGCGCCCGTTCGCTCTTCTCTCTAGAGACTTAGGACATGTCCCTCTCTCGACCATTTATAACCCCTACTATGAACTTTTAGTGCTAGTAACACGATCAGCAGCAATGAACTGGACGTAGGGACATTCTGGCCGAACCAGTATAAACCTCATGTCCTCTTAGCACACCATCTAGACCAGACGCGCAATATTAGAAATTTACTTGTTGGTGGCCACTCGAAACATGACAAGTTGGGTCCACCCCTCTCCCTCTCACTGACATGCAGGCCCCACCTGTCATCTTCTTCTTCCTCCTCCTCTCCTCTTCTCTTCTTCTGTTGCTGAGCAGGCGTCCTACCGCAGCCATGGCCATGCTAGCTTGTGGGTGAGCTGGCGAGCCTCTATCGTGACCACGAGCGCCATGTGTGAGCCACAGCCCTTGCGCTCGTCCGCTCAAGTCCACTCCGCGGTGGCGCCGCTGAGTCATGCCCGCATTGCTCACATCACTTACGCTTGCCTGCTCTATCCGCTCCGCCGCTCATGCCTGTGACCATGCGTTCGCTCGTGCTCGCTCTTAGGTCACCGCCGTCCGCTTGCGCTCGCCCGCAGGTCACAGGTCACACACCATCTGCTCGTGCCTCCACGGACCTGGTGTCTCCACCCCGGCCACCGGGTCGACCTTGCCATGCAGCCAGCCGGGCTCAGGAGTGGTGGCGTCGGCGAGGCCTGCTGACTGACTAGCTTGATTCGGTGCAGCTTCATCCTATAGTGGGTGAATTTATTCGTGGCCTCGCTGGCTGACTTCTGGTTTGGATTGAGACTGTACAAGGCGTGGGCGTCAGAGGCATAGTCGCCCGCGACGGCGTGATGTGCGACGGCGGGTGCGGGAGGCGGAGAGGGTGGAGTGGATAGGAAACAGAAAAAAGAGAAAGAGAGAGAGAGAGGAAGAAGAAAGCGGCAGGGGCAAGAATGTCATTTCACCGTTGTTCTCTCTCCTCAACCGGCTGCACTGATCAGTATATTAGCATTTATCAAAACAAATCTTATTATGGTGTTTACTAATTAATAATTAATGGAACATACTAATAATCCTTAATTTATTCACTGATAACAAAGATTATAAACACATGGATAAACTCCTCCACCAGTTTTTTGGTGGCCACTGTATTCAACGTCTAGTGGAATATTCCAAAAAATAGCAAGTTGAGATTTTTTTTGCCAAAAACGTTTATTCCTTTGCTTTTTTCTTGAGAAATCCTTCATTCTAAACAAGGCTAATATCCATCCAACCAAAGTACGAACGGAGTTGCTAGCGTCCGGACATTCGATTCAGGCGCTTAGCGTCAGACGATGCAAATTCCAGCCGAAACATTAATATGCGAATAAAAAAATCTTGCATCTCACCATGTTATTTGTATGCCCGCCCGCTCGCCTGACACACCCGCCTCGACGCCTGACCCGCCCGCACGCCTGACACACTCGCCTTGACGCTTGACTCGCCCCCATCCACGCACGTCGCCCCCACCCCATCCGTTCGCCCCAGTCCCCGCAGGTGCACCCCCACCCCGTCATGCCCCCAACCACTAGCCCCCAGCGCGCCACGTCCGTCGGTCACCAGCTCACTGCGCTCTATTCCCTGGCACCCCATGACTCCCCGAACAGCATGAAACACGTGCAACATGAAACACTTGAATGTAACATACGTCTGAAAATAGATGAAACATCTGGAACATACACTTGAAACATATGTGTGAAAACATATGCAACATCCAGATAGACCACTTGCAACTTGCAATATGAAAACACTTACTACAACAGAAGACAAAAACAGATGAAACATTTTAGAAGATACTGTTGCAATATATGTGTGAAAACATATACAACATTCAGATCAAAACGATTGCAACATACGTCTTGAAACAGATGAAACATTTTGAACAAATGCTTGCAACATGTTTCTGAAACACTTGCAACATATGTAACATCCTTTCGATCTATTTTTGCAACATTCATATGAAATAGTTGCAATATACATACGAAACACCTAAAACACTTAAAACATACATATGCAACATAGGAGAGGGAAGGCTAGGCCGGTGGTCGAGGTCGAAGACAGCGGTGAGCTGCTGCGCGCGAGCACCACCGCCACTAGCGCCACCAGTACCGGGTTGGGTTCGGCGGCACGATGGGGGATGGGGGCGTGGAGCGCCATGGTCATCAGGGTGGGGGGAGCTCGGTCGCCGAGGTGCCACCAGGGTGGGGAGGGTGCTGCACTGGGGTGGGGGAGAGCTTCCCGCTCCCATGCAACACCGCCACGCTACCTACATGGATCTCGCTTGTGCTCCATGGCTCTCGTCGAGTTATGGGAGAGGGCCACGGAATCTACGAAATTGGGGGCTCCTGGTGGGTGAGGACGCTGGGGTGGGGACGGAGGACGCCGGAATGAGCAAGCGAGAGAGGGAGAGAGCGGAGCATCAGGAAAGCACGGGGGAGAGGAGCTCGTTGGCCAATGGTGCGTGTGGAGCGAAGCGGAGTAAGGCGAGGCAAACAGAAGTTGATTTTATTTTTTTTATTTATTTAGATGAGGAGCGCATGCGATAATCTCTACAACTAAAATATACGGATTGTCAATATCTATCTGGCAGGACCAAAACACTCATGCGATCCATATTTGGCAGACAAATAATCACTACATGAAGACACTGGAAGGCAAGTAAATAAAATAGAATAAAACTCATGGAATCACTGACAGACAAATAATCACCATATGGAGACACTGGAAGATAAGTAAATAAAATGAAATAAAATGGAAAGAGAATTATGGGAAGAGAAAGGAATTTATTAGAATATCACCAGGCAATGATCATGATCGTGATCCAAATCTTGTTCGTTGTCCTTCGCGTTGCGTGTTGACAACAAATGCTTTTTTCTCAAAAAATAAATTATTGCCATGCCTCATGCTAGATATTGTAAGTCCGAGTATACATGTTTTGGCAAGACAGAGCATGGATAAATTCAATTCGATGCCTAATAATAAATTTTCAGCCTTTGAAGCAACTGATGTTTGTCGTAACTTTCAGACAACAAGCTCCAAGCCTAGCTTTTATTTCAAATTCATTACGATAATAAATGTGTTTCTAGACATTATCATGATATAATACACGTAAAAAATTGAATTAATATATTCTTAATTTTGACTTAGCTAACAAACATCTTATTTAATTTATAATACACCCGTTGCAACGCATGGACACTCATCTAGTTGCAACGCACGGGTATTCATCTATAGATGGCCATCGGGCCATGCCGGCCCGGCCCGGTGGCACGGCATGCCGTGCCTGCCTGACGTGGTGTCGTGCCTCAAGACCCCACCGGGCCGGTCGTCTTGAAATCTTGCATTGGCGTGCTCGTGCTGACCTCCGGCCCAAGGCACGCCAGGTAAACGTTTGGTGCGTCTTGCGTCAAGCTCGATGACGCGGCCGTGTTGCGTCTTAGCTTCGATAAGACACGGCCAGATGCAGGCTGGCGTGCTCGTGCTGGCCTCCGGCCCAAGGCACGCGCCTCGTGGCCGTTTGGCCGTCTTGCGTGCCGCTTCGATGGCACTTGCGGCCAGTCTTGCGTCTACGCCCATTGGCGTGCTCGAAGCTTATTCTGCCGAGCTTGAGACGACGACGACATATGGAGATTAGAAAGCCGACGGCGCAAAAATGAGAGACAGAGAGAGGAGGTGACCTCAGGCCACGATGAGTCCACAGTGGGTGGGGGTGTGCTGAACGCTTGAACGGAAGCTGGGCCGTCGCGTCTTGAGCTCCCTCAGTCGGCGTCCACAGGGGTCAGGGCAGTAGCGTCGAGCTCACTCCCAAAGCGGAGACTCGGGGGCTCAGCCGGATCTGGGTTGAGGAGGTGCCCGGTGGCCGGCCGGCAGCATTAGGGGTCGGTGAGTGGGGAGCGGGGAGGGGGGCATGAGCTGCTGACATTTGTGTGTCAGCGTGTGTCAGCCGTCATGCTTGTCAGGTCGTGACAGGTGGGGTGGGTGTGTGTGGGCGTGGGGTGTTAGGGTTTGGGAGGGGTATAGGTGTGGGGGTGGGCCTCTTAGCAAAGTTGGTGGCCGCCCCTCTGGGGCCACCTCTTGGGCCGGTAGTGCCGTGCACGTCTTGCATGAACTGCTTGGTGGCCCGATACGACTACGATGCCTCGGTAGTCGGCGGCAAGACGGCACGGTGACCACCGGGCCGTGCGTCTGGTCGGGCTAAAAAGCAGCAGGGCCACGGGCGGGCTATGAGGCAGCGGGCTGCATGTACACATATATATTCATCTAGTTAATATAAAATTGTGGTGCACCTGGCGTCGTACAACAGGTGCAGCATCGCCGAAGTACCAAACGCATCCCAAGTCAAAATCCCGCCTCCGGTACTGACAGGTGGCCCCGCCAGTCCAACTTGATCCAGGTACGTCATCCGCTGACACATCAGCCGGCACGCACGCGCTGGTCCACAGTCAGCCACCTAGCTTCACCCCTCGTACTCGTGAGTCGTGACGCTTCCCATTCCCCCCTGCGACCCTGCCGGCCTGCCCCCACTCTCCCACTCCAGATCTCCTCGTCCACCCCGTCGCCATCGTCTTCCTCCTCTCCGGCCGGCCGATGCATCCCAAACCCTAGCCCCCCGTCGCAAAACCCTAGATCCCGCCGCTGCCGGCATGGATCCCTCCTCCGGATCCGCCTCCCGCCACGGTCGCCTCCTCATCTCGCCGTCGCTCTCCACCCGCTCCCCGTCCCCCTCGCCGGCCGCGTCCCCCGCGCCACACCACCACCAGGAGCGCCGCAACTCTACTTCCTCCCCGAAGCCCCTGGTCCCCTTCCCGGCCTCCTCCTCTTCCGCCAACAGGCCCCGCTCCTCCTTCGGCGGCGCGGGGCCCCGCGGCTCCGCGGCGGCGACCTCGGCCTCGGGCCCGGCGTTCGCCCACAACGCGCGCCTCGCGGTGGCGCTGGTGCCCGCCGCGGCCTTCCTTCTCGACCTTGGCGGGCTCCCCGTCTTCGCCGTCCTCGCCATCGGCCTCGCGGCGGCATACCTCCTCGACGCGCTCCAGCTGCGCCAGGGCGCCTTCTTCACCGTCTGGGCGGCGCTGCTCGCGGCCGATGTCGCCTTCTTCTTCTCCGCCTCGCTATCATCTGCTGCTGCCGCCTCGCTGCCGCTCACCGCCCTCGCGCTGCTTCTCTGCGCTGAGACCTCCTTCCTCATTGGCGTATGGGCGTCGCTGCAGTTCCGATGGATCCAGCTCGAGAACCCGACCATTGTTGCCGCCCTAGAGCGGTTGCTCTTTGCCTGTGTGCCCATCGCCGCACCTGCCCTCTTCACGTGGGCTCTCGTATCCGCGGTTGGCATGGCCAATGCATCCTACTACTTTGCCGCGTTCTGCATGGTGTTCTACTGGCTGTTCTCCATACCCCGTCCGTCCAGCTTCAATAGCAGGAAGCAGGATACTCCAATACTGGACAGTGATGGCATTCTTGGCCCGTTGGAGAGCTGTGTGCATTCGCTGTATGTGCTGTTCGTGCCGGTGTTGTTCCATGCTGTGTCCCATCATGCCACACTCTTCACATCGTGGGCCAGTGTGTGTGAATTGCTGCTGCTGTTCTTCATACCATTCTTGTTCCAGCTTTATGCTTCCACTCGTGGTGCACTGTGGTGGATCACCAGGGATGCACGTGCAATGGACCAGATAAGAATCGTGAATGGGTTCGTTGCACTGGTCGTGGTGGTGCTTTGCCTTGAGGTGCGAGTTGTGTTCCACACGTTTGGAAGATACATTCATGCTCCACCACCGCTGAATTACCTGCTTGTAACGGTCACAATGCTTGGTGGCGCTTTGGGCCTTGCAGCCCATGCTGCGGGCAAGGTTGGGGATGCTGCTAGCTCAGTGGCTTTTACAGGGTTGGCAGTGCTAGTCAGTGGAGCAGGAGCTGTAGTCATTGGATTCCCCATGATGGTATGTTGCAGCCTCATTTATGCAATTGGTATCTGCTTATGTGACATTTTGATTTGTTAAAGCTAATGCATGTTGCATGCTACGTTGAACCAAAAAATGTAGTTCTTTGAAATTCATCTTGTATTGTGAAGTCGATATAAGGCTTTGGACTTTTACTAACAATAACTACTGCATCTGGTCTTGTATGGTACATTTGAGTTTTTCTTCGTTGTCTCTACTCCACATATTTTAGACTAGTTCTACATCAGGTATTAGTAGTAGTGCTTAGATAAATTAGTCAAGGGGCTATTGCCCTTATCATTAAGTTAGTACTGCCATTGCTGTCTGTCCATTTTATGTCACATTTGTTACACTATAGATACAGTATGGTTAAACAGTTCTATTAGACTTTACACCAATGATGTGTTTGCTATTTTTCTTGTCTCTTTGTATTATTGAGGATCTAAGTTTTTTATGTTCAATTGGTTCTTGAGCAGCAATATCTTTTAAATTTTAATATCATTAGCTCACAATAGTTTTTTCTTGGATGAATCTGGCAGTTGTTTATGTAGTGAGATCATTATGGTTTGGATCATCTTCAAAAGTTCTGACCACCAAACTGAAGCAACACAGCCTTTTGAAGCTTTTGCTTGATTTATGCCAAATTTTGACATGGATAAATTGAGTAAATTTCATAAACTACACTATTTTTAAAAAAATATCTCAAAACTACAATTTTAAAAGCTAGTTTCATATAACTACACTCTATTGAAACCAATATTGCAAAACTACAGTTTCTAAGATTAACTTCACAAAAATACACTTCAATTGTCAATTCATATAAAAAACTACACATTTATTGTCATTACACATTGCAAAATTTCAGTAGCCTTTAAAAGCATAGTTTTGTGTAATTGGTTCCCAGAGGTGTACTTTTGTTTTTGTACCTATTTCAATGAAAATGTAGTTTTAGAAAACTGTTTCTACTTTCTATGAAGTGTAGTTTTGCGATGATTTTCCAATCATTGTGTAGCTTTGTGGGTTAACTGCAGTATAGAAACTATAGATACCGTTACTCATATTTGAATGAGAATAAATTGTGGTATTGTGCGGCCATATTTGCTCATACTTGATAGTACTTGACCATTGCTGTTGGTAGATGCTCATCAATTATATAGTACATGTTTTAACAATTGTTGTTGTTCTTGTTTGCTTTGACCTAACTCTTGCATTTTTGTTTGAAATGCTGTAGCTGAGTACCTGAACACTTTCACTGTTACACTCTTATAATCCCTCAACTTGTGTCATCCTCACCACAATATCTCAATGATGTTGTTGCTTAGTACTTGAATCATGGCTGTGCGAAGCTAGTGAGTTCCTTGGCAGGGGTCAAGGTTTTTGAATGCTGCAGTGCTGCCAATTCTTTCAAACCTTATTTAGATTAGATTATATTAAATATCTATTGCATAAATACTGCAAAACTATGTTGTAAAATTAGTTAGATCTGTGCTTGTTGATATTTGCCCCTGTGCAGGAGTTCTAACTGGCACATATGAATAAAATGCTATCATGATCCATGATACCCTTTAAGATGGGTTTCTGTTGACGAGGAGAGAAAGAATGCACTCTATTGTTTCTTGTCAAACTCTTTAGATACTTAAATTTCATATTAAAGAAGTACAAGAACAACATGAGTATCTAATCAAGTAGAGTTGTGGAATAGCAGACTTTTGTTGAACAGAAAGAAGTCCCTTTGCATGGTGAGTTATAGGATGGAATGGTCTCATTGGAGGTATAAAGGTGTAGCATCATCTAGGCTCTTGGCAGTGGTATAATGCGTATGTCTTGTTGCAACCATTTTTTACCTAGTGCCCTGTGTTACAGTTGAGGGTTTAGCCTAGTGCTTACCCATGTATCTAGTTATCTACTTAGCTATTTACTATTCACTGTCTAGCTGTTTTCAGGTGCCTTAGCATCCAAGCTAGCATCTACTTTATACACTAGAATATGCTGTAGTAGTTGAGAACTTCTTGTTTCCCAAGTTTGCTTTTCCTATATAATGCAGCGGCTAAGTGCCAAGCTGCCCTCTGGCAGGAGAAATTCCACTTGTCTAGCTACTTGCGACAATTGGTATCAGAGCCTGGTTAGGAGAGAGCAGAGGTCATGTCCACCTCCAAATGAACGCGCCGAGAGCAGCGAATGCGGCCGCCGCCGCCAACATAGGCGGAGGTGGTGGTCAATCGGCGGCTGGCGCTTGGCGCGAGGTGATCGAGGCGGCCAGCGTGCAGCGGCAAGAAGGCAGCAGCCGTGCCAACCACGGGCCGCCGCGCTTACGCTGTGAGTTGGAGCGATAGCCCGAGGAGCCGCCACGGAGCCGGTGCGCCGTCGGATCCCATCGCCATCTCCGGAGCGCCATCGGGACGCGGAGGCCGTCGTGGGTCGCGGCCGCCGCCGTCGAGACGGTGTACAAGGACTCAACGCGAGGGCGCCATGGCCGATCTCGACAAAGACCAACTACCACGAGTGAAGCACGCTCATGAAGGTGAAGATGCGGTAGCGCCAACTCTAGGGCGCCATCGAAAGCACGGCGACCTCTCGTACCACGACGATCGGCGCGGCGGTCAAGGCCATCACCGCCGGGAAAGCATCGAGATGGGCGCGCGCTTGCGGACAAGCGACGCGCTAAGGAGGCGTGGGACTCCATCGCCCGCACAAGGCATCGGCGTCGGCCGCGTCCGCCGCGCACCACGCGCGCAGCTGCGCAAGGAGTGGGGGAGAACCTCGCTTCCGCCCCGGTGGCGGTCGAGGACTTTCGCCCTCCGCCTCTCTCGCTGGCGAAGCGGCAGATGGCCCGCCACGGTGACAAGGACCTCGACGAGGAGCGGGCGGTGGAGAAGCTTCTTCGTGCGGAACCAAAGAAGTACGCCCAGCTGAAGATCGCGATCGAGACCCTCCTCGACTTCCAGGACTTCACCATCGAAGAGGTCGCCGGAAGGCTGAAGACGGTGGACGATCTCGAGGAAGAACCTCCGTCCGAGCCCATCTCCGTCGGTGGGAAACTGATGTACACCGAGGAGCAATGGCTCGCTCGACAGAAGCAGAAGAAGAAAGGAGGAGATGGCTCGGGCTCGTCCAGATCGTCCAAGGAACCCCGTCGGCGTCCTCGCGGCGGCAGGAAGCAGAAGCCCATGGGCGGCCGTAAGTGGCGGCGGGCGGCGGAGCAAGGAGAAAGGTTGGTGGCGCCGGCGGTGACATAAAAGAAGGCGAACCGTGGCGACACTCGCCTCAATCGCCATCGCTGGCAAGCCCTTTGGGTGAAGGATTGCCCTCAGCCTCGACGCGAGCGTGGCGGCGCGGCGCATCTCGCAGAAGCGGATGACGACGAGGCGGCTCTGTTTCTCGCCCACGGTTACCTGGAGCTGGAAACAGAGGAGGACATCCTCTGCTCCAAGGCCGACGCCAACCTCGACATCGACAAACCCCGGGCTCATGCGTTCCTCAACACCGGCTCCGGCGAGGACAAGTTGGATGGCTGGTACCTCTACAGTGGCGCTACCCATCACATGACCGGACGTCGTGAACTCTTCTCCGACCTCGACACCTCTGTTCGTGGCTCAGTGCGGTTCGGCGACGCATCAAGGGTGGAGATTCAAGGTGTCGATGTGAAATTTGACCAACAAGTAAATATTTGTAGTTTTGCCGTGCGTTGTGATCGGATGTGGCATAGTTTTTAAGGCGTCGCCTAGGCGTCGACTAGTCGTCCGGGCGGATTTTCAAGCGCGGCGTCGTTGTCGCCGCTTGCCGTCGTCCCGGCGGCGTATGGCTTTGCGGTCGAAAGCGTCGCCTTAGTCGTCCTTCTCATTGAGGCGGACGCCATTGGACGTAAAAAAGGCGCGGGAAAAAGCGGCGCCAGCCGGCTTTCGGCAAGCGGGAAAAAAGCGGACGCCTCGCATGAAAAGCAAGCGCCACGCCTACACCTCCCGCTAAAGCTCCCAATCCCCATCAGCGTCCCGAGAGAAGCGAGAGAGAGAGGAAAGGAAGAGAGAGAGGAGAGAGAGAAGGCGGCGGCGCACCTCAAATCCAGTGCAATGGCGCAAGCAGCCCGCCGCCAAGTCCGTCGATCGCTTGCGAGCCGCCCGTCCGCGCTGACGACTGCCTCATTCTTGAGGCCGCCCGTCCCGGCCTGCCAGCCATGGACCTTTGTCATGTGAGGCCGCCCGTCCGTCTGCAAGTCCGACTCTCGTGGCGTTCGCCACGCTCTACTACGGTCCGCGACTCTGCTCCACGCGACTGGCAAGTATATCCTCCCCTCCTCTTTCCTCTGCTGCTCGCTGCGGCTCTGCTCTTCCTCCGCGACTCTGCTCTTTCCTCTGCTCGCTGCGGCTCTGTATGTTAGAGTATGTGTATGGCGTCGCCTCGCCGCGCGCCTAACTCGCCTAGGCGTCTGGAAGGGGGTGGAGCGCCGCACCTCGCCTTACCGCCTTAAAAACTATGGGATGTGGTCTAGCACGTGATGACACATGATTTATACTGGTTCAGGCAACGTGCCCTACGTCCAGTTTCAGTTGGTCGGTGACTTTATTCCTGAGCCCAGGTGCTCGAAGTTTGCTGTGGGGTTACAAACGAGTAGGAATGAGAAGGGGGTGTTAAAGGCCCGGTCGGACTCTGAACCGAATGGCCAAGAGTGACGGGTGCTCTAACGTGCGCTAAGTATTTTGGAGCGTATGCTCTGTGTAGCTATCGAGTTCTAGAGTTGTTGAGCTGTTCGAGTCCTCGAGTCCTCTAGTCTTTTTTCTTTCGAGAGCTTTTAGGAGAGAGCTCATCCCCTTTTATAGTTGAAGGGGATGGCCTTACAAGTCAGAGAAAGAGAGAGTGTATACGTGTGCGACCTAGTCTTGTTGCCTTACCGTCGCTGCATGAGGCGGTTATCGGTGCCCTAATCGCTTTTACGTTCGGGCGCTTGTCTGGTAGGCTCTATCGTGTTCGCTTGGTACGGCAAACGTCGGCGCCTACAATACTGTTTGTGCTCTGACGCGTCTGGAAGGTTGTATAGTGCACGTCTGGCATGGCCTGGTGGCACCGTCCTGCAGGTGCGCAGGGCATGGCAGGGTACGGTCCTCGGTATTGCGGTTGACTTGTTCGCCTTACCTTATCTGCTCCACCTGATCCTCGGGCCCTCACTGAGCGGGCGTCCCTGGTTGGTCGTTCCCAGTCAGTCCCGACCGTGTCGATTGGAAAAGAGCAGCGAGCACAGGTCTGGTGTATCCTCGGTTGGAGGAGGTCGAAGCCGGACTGTGGTCCCACCTTGGCCAGGCCTTCCGGTCGGGGACCGGATCGTTGTCCCGGCATGACATTATGTATCTGGGCCGACCCAGGCGCGCGTTGTCACTGCGCCGCCTGCTGGGCCGGGTTTTGCAGGGAAGCAGGTCCATTGGGGACCCCGGGTTTACGAACCCAACACAAGGCGTCGGCTCGATCGTGTTCCAAGCCAAGACCGGCGAGCACCGAGTCTTGCACGGCGTCTATTTCATCCCGGCGCTGTGCAACTCCATCATGAGCCTCGGCCAGCTCGATGAGGGCGGGTCCAAGGTGGAGATCGACAAGGGTGTCCTACGCATCTGGGATCGCCGCGGGCGCCTCCTCGTCAAGGTGAACTGCGGGCCTAGCCGCCTCTATGTCCTCCATCTTGAGGCCGTGAAGCCGCTCTGCCTCGCCGTGAGGAAGAACAACGACGCCTGGCACTGGCACGAGCGGTTCGGCCACCTCCACTTCGAGGCGCTATACCAGCTCGGCAAGCAAGCTATGGTGCGCGGCATGCCGGTGATCAAGCACGCCGAACAAGTTTGCGACACCTGTGTCACGACGAAGCAGCGCCGGCGCCCCCTCCCTCAACAGGCCCAGTATCGCGCGCAGGAGCTGGAGCTCGTCCATGGCGACCTTTGCGGGCCCGTGACGCCGGCGACTCCAGGAGGGCGGCGCTACTTCCTCCTGATGGTGGACGACGCGTCCCGCTTCATGTGGGCCGTCCTGCTGCTGTCCAAGGATGCTGCCGCGGACGCCGCCAAGAAGATTCAGGCCGCGGCAGAGAAGGAGAACGACCGCAAGCTCCGGGTGCTACGCACCGACAACGGCGGCGAGTTTACCGTCGCGGAGTTCGCCGACTACTGCGCGGGAGAGGGCATCCAGCGCCACTTCTCGACGCCTCACTCGCCGCAGCAAAATGGCGTGGTGGAACGCCAGAACCAAACCGTGGTGGCCACGGCTTGGGCGTTGCTGAAGCAGAGGAGGATGCCGGCCAAGTCTTAGGGGGAGGCGGTGATGATGGCAGTCCATCTACTCAATCGCTCACCGACGCGGAGCTTCCAGGGCAAGACCCTCGATGAGGCCTGGCACGGGCGCACGTCGGCGGTCGGCCACCTGAAGACATTTGGCTGCGTCGCCTACACCAAGGATCTGGGGCAGCTCCGCAAGCTGGATGATCACAACAAGCCCGACGTCTTCATCGGGTACGCGGAGGGAGCCAAGGCGTACCGCATCCTGGACCCTGCGACGCAGCGTGTCAGGATCAGCCGCGACATCATCTTCGACGAGGGGTGTGGCTGGGATTGGTCTACCCCGGACGCCGGCAGCTCGGCCACAGCGGCGAGCGACTTCATCGTCGAGTTCTGGGAGACTGGAGGAGCCGGGGAAGCACAAGATGCTTCTCCAGTGGCGGCCGGAGCTACATCGCCGGCGCCATCACACTCTGCATCGCGCTCGCCGTCACCAAATCCGGGGGAGCCCGGAGGGACATCGGCAGTAGCGGTCGCTCCTCTAGCACCCCAGCCAGCCTCACCAACGCCACCGCCAGCGTCCCCTGCTGCTTCACCGGCATCACCAGCGGCAACAGCTGTGGCTAGAAACCAAGTGGGGTTTGCCACTCCACTGGAGGATGATGAAGACAGACTCGACGCCTACTACGACGACGAGCTGCTGCGATACCGCACGATGACGAACATCATCGGCAACTATCCTCCGCCTCCGCCGCCTCAACGCCCCCCTTTGCGGAGCTTCACCTCACACACGCCGGCGAGCCTGCCAACTACGCCAAGGCCAAGGATGATCCGGCATGGCAGGCGGCAATGGAGCAAGAGCTCAAGGCGGTGGAGCAGAACCGGACCTGGGAGCTGGTGCCGCTCCCTGCCGGTCACTAGCCCATCATCCTAAAGTGGGTGTTCAAGCTCAAGAAGGATGAGCTGGGCGCGGTGATCAAGCACAAGGCAAGACTTGTGGCGCTCGGCTTCATTCAGCAAGAAGGGGTGGACTACGACGACGCGTTTGCTCCGGTGGTGCGCATGGAATCCGTCAGGGTCCTCGCGCTGGCGGCTCAAGAAGGCTGGCGCGTCCATCACATGGATGTCAAATCGGCCTTCCTCAATGGCGACCTCAAGGAGGAGGTATACGTGCAGCAGCCGCCCGGCTTCGCCGTCGCCGGAGAAGAAGGGAAGGTCGACCGCCTCCGCAAGGCCCTCTATGGCCTGCGGCAGGCTTCGCGCGCCTGGAACGCCAAGCTGGATGTCACACTCAAGGAGATGGGCTTCCAGCAAACTGCTCACGAGGCGGCGATGTACCGGCGGGCAGTGGACGCTCTGTCCTGCTCGTCGGCGTCTACGTCGACGACCTGATCATCACCGGCGCAGAGGATCGAGAGGTGGAGGCGTTCAAGGCTCAGATGAAGACTTTCGACATGAGTGACCTCGGCCGCCTCAGCTTCTACCTTGGCGTCGAGGTGCATCAAGATGCCACCGGCATCACCCTTCGTCAGACACATTATGCCAAGAGGATTCTGGAGCTCGGCGGAATGGCTGGCTGCAACCCTGCCCATACTCCAGTGGAGGAGCGGCTGAGGCTTAGCAGGCACAGCACAACGGCGGAGGTCAATCCTACACACTACCAGCGCCTCATCAGCGGTCTGCGCTACCTGGTGCACACTTGCCCCGATCTGGCATTTGTTGTTGGCTTCGTCAGCAGGTTCATGGAGCGGCCTACGGTGCTGCACCAACAAGCTGTCAAGCGCATTCTCCGCTATGTCGCTGGCATGCTCGACTACGGTCTGCACTTCACCAAGGCGCCCGGCTCCGCTCGCTTCGTCGGCTACTGCGACAGCGACCTCGCCGGCGACATCGACACAAGCAAGAGCACGAGTGGAACACTCTTCTTCCTCGGCAATTGCTTGGTCAGCTGGCAATCAATCAAGCAGAAGGTGGTGGCGCTCTCCAGCTGCGAAGCAAAGTACATTGCCACTTCTACTGCTGCAACCCAGGCTCTGTGGCTCTCAAAGCTGCTAGCAGAGCTCCTCGGCAAGTATGTCGAGGTTGTGGAGCTGAAGGTGGACAGCAAGTCGGCCCTCACTCTGGCCAAGAATCCAGTCTTCCATGACAGGAGCAAGCACATAAGGATCAAGTACCACTTCATCCGCAGCTGCCTGGAAGATGGAAGCATCAAGGCCGATCACATCTCAACTACTGATCAGCTTGCAGACATTCTCACCAAATCCTTGGGCAGAGCCAAATTTGAAGAGATGAGGGAGAGAATTGGTCTGAGGCAGATCATCCCCAAGGCAGGGCACAAGGCTAAGGGGGAGAATTGAGGGTTTAGCCTAGTGCTTACCCATGTATCTAGTTATCTACTTATCTTCTATTCACTGTCTAGCTGTTTTCAGGTGCCTTAGCATCCAAGCTAGTATCTACTTTATACACTAGAATATGCTGTAGTAGTTGAGAACTTCTTGTATCCCAAGTTTGCTTTTCCTATATAATGCAATCAAGTGGCTAAGTGCCAAGCTGCCCTCTGGCAGGAGAAATTCCACTTGTCTAGCTACTTACTTGCAACAACAGTAACATGCAATCGCGCTTTTACTAGCAACCCTGTCCTGAATCTTGCAACATTTTCTACCAGTTATTTTTGTTTGCACATCAACAGATAGTTGTGTATAATGCCTTTTTGTTAATTCTTTTGCAGTTTCTGCCACTGCCGATGATTTCTGGCTATTATGTTGCAAGGTTCTTTACTAAGAAAAGCTTGTCATCATACTTTACCTTTGTGGCACTTGCAAGCTTGATGGTCCTTTGGTTTGTGGTGCACAATTATTGGGATCTGAATATTTGGCTTGCTGGCATGCCATTGAAGTCCTTCACGAAGTATGTTGTTGCAGCTGTCATCATGGCAATGGCTGTTCCTGGTTTGGCACTTCTCCCAACAAAACTTCGCTTTCTTCTGGAACTGGGTCTTATTGGTCATACATTGTTGCTATGCTACATCGAGAACCGATTGTTCAACTATGCCTCCATGTATTACTATGGATTTGAAGATGATATCATCTATCCTAATTATATGGTTTTTATTACAACCTTTTTGGGCTTGGCTCTTGTAAGAAGATTATATGTGGATCAGAGACTAGGGCCCAAAGCTGCTTGGATTTTAACTTGCCTATATTCATCAAAATTAGCAATGCTGTTTATGACATCAAGATCAGTTATATGGGTGTCAGCTGTTCTGCTACTTGCTGTTACCCCCCCTTTACTTCTTTACAGGTATTTTCTTAAAATCTAGTGTTTTGATAGAAACACCAACAAAAATTTTGTTCCGCAAATTTTTGTTGATAAATTCTTCTTGCTTGTGACTTTCAGAGACAAGTCTAAAGGAGCTTCTAAGATGAAAGTCTGGCAAGCTTATTTCCATGCATCCGTCATAGCGTTTTCTGCCTGGCTCTGTCGGGAAACAATTTTTGAAGCTCTACAGTGGTGGAATGGAAGACCTCCTTCAGATGGTTTGTTACTGGGTTCATATATTCTGTTGACAGGAGTTGCATGCATTCCAATAGTCGTTCTCCATTTCCCACATGTTCAGGTAGTTGCTAGTTACCTTCATTCTTGTTAAAAAGACTAATCATCCTACTGCTTACAACAAATTAGATGTGATATTTCTATGCTGTTATTGTTTTATTCTAAAGCAATATTTTGTGAAGGGCTGTTCATTTCCAGAGTTCATTTCCAGAGTTTTAGCATGATGTTAGGTGTTCTTACAATGGATAATTTACTCATTTTTTACACTAGGAATCTATAGATGTGTTTAGAGGCATGCAATTGGACTTGCAGTCATATTTACCGCGTCAGACTGTGAGAGCATGCATATTTTTAGGACCACATGGCTAAATTGATAGAGGCAAGGTCAGTAAAATGTATCAAGATCTCACTTGCAATCTGGAATATCAAATCTATCTTGCTTCCCTGGTAATTTATGAACTTCGCAAATTTAAAGAAGAAAAGATTTAGTTTACTTCATGGGATGCATTAACTTTGAACTGAAAACAGAGCCTAATGGTTTGAAAGTTTGGCCATGTATGGTCTGAATTGCTGACATTATTTTGTTAACTTGAAAGCGATAATCATTTCATTCGATGGATTATATTTTACCATTACTGAAGAGTTTTCAAAGATCAGGATGTGAGTTTTATAACGCTAAAAGATATGCTTTGCCTGAAATGGCCGTGATGCATGCAGCAACATATAATTATGGATTTGGGACACCATAATTCAAAATTTGAACTTTTTTTGGACTATCATTTATCTCTGGAATTTTAGTTATGTAATAATTCCCATTGTGGTTTTACTTCCTTAACCAACCATAAGAAATAGTCCTAGTAGCTTCTGTTTTTTTTTTTGGAGTGTTATTAAGTTATATTCGTTCCAGTTGGATTCAAGTGTCATTTGAACTGAGAACCAAATGATGAAGAAACACTGATGTTCAATTCGGTCTTTCCACTGATACCCCTTTTAATATGATTGCATGCTATAGTTAACACAAGCTCTGCATTGTTGCTTGCTCCAGCACAAAATAGCATGATTTGAAGTGAACCGCATGTTCACTGCTGTGTGCTCCTTGGTTAGTGGAGTGGGCTCTGAAACACAACTTAAAACTGATTGCAGGGAGTATGGCCCACATATTTCTGATTCCTGTCAATGAAAAGGAATAATTTTTTTGCCTCTTGTTTCTGTAATTGAATTTGATTCCTCTTTACCAAAAAGCATCTTCAAGTTAAATATTGAACCATACCTCTTGTTTTCTAGTACTTCCGTTTACCCTCTCTTATGCTACTTTTTGCTGTATACCTGTCTACATCTTGCAAATTGTTTGTTGCTGCACCAATTGATTATATTTTCAATATTTCCTTGCAGTTAGCGAAGAGATTCCTGGTCCTTGTTGTGGCTACAGGCCTTCTCTTCGTTGTTATGCAGCCTCCTATTAAGCTATCATGGGTATACCGGTCGGATTTTATCACAGCAGCACATTTATCTGATGATGACATTTCAATATATGGGTTTGTAGCATCTAAGCCCACATGGCCGTCATGGCTGCTCATCGCAACTGTGGTACTTACACTAGCAGCGGTTACATCCATCATCCCAGTGAAGTATGTTGTTGAGTTGAGGGCTTTGTATGCAGTGGCAGTTGGGATTACACTAGGCATCTACATATCTGTTCAGTACTTCTTCCAGGCAGTTGTTCTGTATCCTCTTCTTGTTGCAACAATTGTCTCTGCGGCAGTCTTTGTCGTATTCACACATCTTCCTTCTGAATCGAGCACAAGGGTTTTGCCATGGGTGTTCTCTTTCTTGGTAGCTTTGTTCCCAGTCACCTATCTGCTTGAAGGACACTTAAGATCCAAAAGTTTTGCAGATGAGGATGAAGAAGAGAAGTTCACCAACATGTTGGCTATAGAAGGGGGCTAGAATGTCACTTTTGGGTCTCTATGCTGCTATCTTCATGATTATTGCATTAGAAATCAAGTTTGAGCTGGCTTTGCTATTGCGTGAAAAGGCTGCAGACAGAGGTATGCATGGTCCATCTAGTCGGAGTTCTGCCTTTCCACCAAAAGCAAGGCTGCTCCAGCAACGAAGGGCTCATGCTGCACCAACATTCACCATCAAGCGGTTGGCAGCAGAGGCAGCATGGATGCCTGCTATCGGCAATGTTTCTACTGTGCTGTGTTTTGGCATCTGCCTGGTTCTGAATATCACACTCACTGGTGGCTCGAACCGTGCTATTTTCTTCCTGGCGCCCATCCTTCTGCTCTTGAACCAGGATTCAGATATCTTCGCAGGATTTGGTGATAGGCAGCGCTATTTCCCAGTAACAGTTTCTATTTCTGGTTATTTATTATTGACGGCATTGTATAGGATATGGGAGGAGACTTGGCCTGGCAATGGAGGATGGGCTCTTGACATTGGGGGCCCAGGCTGGCTGTTTGCTGTGAAGAATTTTGCTCTTCTTGTGCTCACTTTACCGAATCACATACTCTTCAACCGCTTCATGTGGGATTATGTCAGACAGACAGATGCCAAGCTACTGCTGACACTACCGCTCAACTTGCCTTCGATTATAATGACAGACATACTTACTATTCGGGTGTTAGGATTGCTAGGAGCTATGTACTCTCTTGCCCAGTACATGATATCAAGGCGTATAAGAATCGCTGGGATGAGATACATTTGAAATAGGACATGTAACTTTCAAGGTAAATCTGGTACGCCTTACCAAATTGCTGCCAGTAGAGTCTGGTTTCCTGAAGCCACCTTTCAATGCATCGCTTGCAGGCTGTCACTATACATCAAATTCTTTCAAAGCTCAGGAACAAATACATCATTGCCTGGTCGGCTCGGGAGAAAAATTGTGCCTTGTAGCAGAGAAAAACAAGGGTCGAATGACACTGCTTTTTTGTACTGAATGATCTGTATACTTAGTGTAGGCTAAAGGTGTTGTCGCAGATATAGATATGTTTTAACTGCACATATGAGATGACATCACCGTGGCCCCTTTACTTTGAACTTGTGACAGCACAAAGTTTTGCAAGAATACTAGTATTCGATAAGCCTGAGCAGAAGACTTTGATGTAAGATGCTGATTACGGTTTTTGTTTGTTTGTTTGTTTGTTCCACCTCGTGGGCTTGCTTTTCTGATTCCTGTAAAATTGTGCTTCTATGAGCCGTGTAGGCTTGTAGCACTAAGACTGGCCATAGCCTGGAACAGGAACCTGGAACTGGCTTATAGGTTATGTTATGAGCTGTACTATTTCAGCGAACAAACCATGTTTTTTTTTCATAACAAATCAGCGAATAATATTTTAAGTCATGGTTTTTCAGCAAAGCGAACAGGGCCATAGCCTGATATCCATAGTTCTTCTCAAAGCTGGAGGGAATAGTAAAGAAATTTAGTGGGGCCAAACTGGCACATAATCTGGGCCAATATACCACGTCATAGCAGCCTCCGAAATCTAGCCCTGGGCAAATTACCCAATACCCGAGCCACTTGCATCCGATCTACCTACCTGATTACAATTTTGAATAGTGATTCTAGATACCCGAAATTAATTCGGGAAATTTGGGTAACTCCCCCGTACCCGATTTACCCATATTACCCGATATTTTCAGAGCCCATCAACTAATGTCGTCAACATCTAGATAGAAGCCCACTATGCGGCCCAGCAACTCCACTTGACATAGGCCGCACATCCCCTCAAGTCATCGACCACCCCGAACTCCCCCAGACGTAGCGGCCTACGACCGAGCACGAGATGTCGAGCTCAAGCGGCCCCCAAATCCCAAACCCCAGCGAACCCTAGCGAGTAGCCACCGCCTGCCGCCGAGCCCCCCCGACGCCGACGGCGCGACCGCATGGCCCCAACACCGACGACACGACCACGCGGCCCCGATGCTACCCAGCACCGCCACGCGGCCGACCCCGACGCTAATGACGCGGGCTGAAACCCTGCTATCAACCGCCAAGTCGATGACGGACCGATGCTGCCCCACGCGACCGAGCCCTAATAACGACGCGACCGCCGATGCTCGACCGCCCGCCGCCCCGGCCGTCGGTGCTCCCAGTCTCCCACACCATCTGCGCTGATATTGGGTAGTTCGGGAATACCCGAACCCAAACCTGAATTATCGGGTACCCGAAATATCGGGTAGTCATTTTTCGGGGCGGATATCGGGTATAGGCTTGATCGAGTAATGATTTCTATTACCCGAATTTTTAACTACCCGAACTACCCCACCCGAATTTTTCGGGTAACCCGAACGCCCAGGCTTACCAAAATCTAACAAATAATCTTTTTAGTTGCTTGACATTTAGAAAAATGTCTTCTAGTATTGCTATATTAAATAATATAATAGATAGAAACAAAATTCAGTTTTAGGGTCAGAAATGGTTAAGAGACTCAGAGGGAGAAAGAGGATAGATAAGAATATTGGGCATGTTTGGTAGGGTTCTGAAACTTGTCCAACTAAAATTAAGACATACCTACAAATTTTAGCTATTGATTAATTTATTATTAAATAATTCGCACAATAATTTCTATGGCACTAAATGCATTCCTATACTTTTTGTCCTAACTTTAGCAAGCCTAAGTTTTGGCATGCCATGATTTTGGAGGAAGACAAATTAGAGACATTCATGGAGAAGTTGATTGGGATGTACGCAAGGTAGGGTGTGTTTGGTTCATTCCCCCTGCTTGACTCACCTGGCTGAGCTAGAAATTGGAAGGAAAGAGGAGTTTGGTTCAAGTCAGGTCTTGGGTTTCACACTAGCAAGCTTTTGCTTGCTTTCTTGGGAGAGGCATTTTGGTTCACCTACCCTGGCAAAGCGAGGCTTGCTCACGCAGTCAAGGCGACCGAGCTGAACCATAGAACCAAACGTGCCCTAGTCTTCTGGTCTTTTGTTTTACACCGTGGGTCCTACACACTATAGCTTGAGTTTCGACGGGCGTGTTTGGTTCTAGAGCCAGCCTAGCCTAGCCTCATCGGGCAAGGAGAGCCTAACCTTGCCCGTGCAAGAGAGCGAAATTTGCTTGCCCTTTTCAGCAAATGAAATGTGGAAAACACAGTTCCGATACACTCTCGCCTGAAAACCAAACATTCACCCCTGCACGAACTTCTTCACTCCTCACATTAAATTCTTAATGGGTGGGACCCCATAATATCGGCAAGGATACCAAACAACGTCGTGATTTGCCTGACTATTCGCAACTTTGAGTGGAGTGTTATTTCTCATTCGGCCGGGCCCGGGGCTCTAGAGCCCATGCACAACTTATTGTGATGCCTTTCTTTTTAAGAGATGATTTCATTTTCATATTGTCGGGTTCATAAACCCGGGGTCCCCAATGTACTCGTTCTCCTACAAAACTCGGCCCAGCAGGCGACGTAGCGACAGCACGCGCCTGGGCCGACTCAGATACAAAATGATAGGCCAAGACCACGATCCAGTCCCTGACCGGCACCTTCGGCCAGGAGATCTGATCGGAGCCCCGACCGGAAGGCCTGGGCGTGGTGGGACCGCAATTTGACTCCGACCCCCTTTCTCCGACTAAGGATACGCCGGACCTCTGCTCGCTGCTCTTTCCTGACCGACACGGTCGGGGCCGACGGGGAACGACCGACCGGGGACGCCCGCTCAGTGTGGACCCGGGGAGCAGGCGGAGCAGATAAGGTAAGACGCTCAAGTCAACCACAATACCGAGAACCGTACCCTGCCATTCCCTGCGCACCTGCAGGACGGTGCCGTCGGGCCATGTCAGACAGACACTGTACATCCTGTCAGACGCGTTAGAGCATAAACAATATTGTGGGCGCCGTCGTTTGCCATACCAGGCGAACACTGTATAGTCTGCCAAACGCGTCAGAGCATAAACAATATTGTGGGCGCCGTCATTTACCGTACCAGGCGAACACTGTACAGACTGTCAGACGCGTCAGAGCATAAACAGTATTGTGGCGCGCCCTCGTTTGCCGTACCAGGCGAACACTGTGCAGCCTACCAGATACAACAGAGTATAAATAGTAAGGTGAGCGATGGCGGCGTAAACAGTATGGCGGACGACGACGGCCATCCCGTACCCGATGGCGTGGGCAACAAGGCTATGTAGCGCACGTATACACTCTCTTTCTTTCTGGCTTGTAAGACCAACTCCTTCAACTATAAAAGGGGATGCGCTCTCTCCTAAAAGACGACGACCCGAGGACTCGACGAAAACACAGGCTATGGAACACGGTCTCAAGAGTCTCAATAGCTCGCAAGCTCGGGCACACAGATACGCACATAGAGCACATGCTCTGACACTTAGCATACGTTTGAGCCCCCGTCACTCTCTTCCACTCGGACTAGAGTTTGACCGGGTCTTTTACACCCCCACTTCATTTCTCACACGTTTATAACCCCACAGCAAACTTCGAGCACCTGGGCTCAGAAATAAGTCACCAACCGACCTCAACTGGACGTATGGCCCGTTGCCTGAACCGGTATAAATCCTATGTCATTAAGTGCTAGGCCACATCCAATCACAACGCATGGCAAAACTATAAATATTTACTTGTTGGCCACATTTCGCACCGACACACATATTGATTTTAGAGATTAGAATTAGGATTCACTACTACAGAATGGACTTGTTGTCCCAGACGGTAACAGCCTTTAGTCCCGGTTACCGCACCGAGACAACAATCCCGGGACTAAAGGTGCCACCTTTAGTCCCGGGTCATCGAGCCGGGGCTAAAGAGGGACCTTTAGTCCCGGTTGGTGTTATCAACCGGGACTAAAGGCCCTCCAGCCGAGCAAATGTGGCCGCACCCTTTAGTCCCGGTTGGTAACCCCAACCGGGACTAAATGTTCCTTTTCTTTTTCTTTTTTTTTGTTTAATTTGTTTTCAGTTCAGTTACACGTATTTGTTTAATATATAATATATTTTTATGTACGTATTCTACGCTGCTAATATAAATACACGCACGCATATAATTACATCTAATTCTCATCTCGAGCATTATTATATTCGAATAAAGTATGAACCTATATATATTATAGATATATATATATATGTATATATACAACACTTTTATAATCTTGTTCTCGAAAATAACGATATCAATAAACATTTAATTTATATCATTTATTCCTTAGGATCAAAGTAGAACTCGCCGTTGGGATTTAACACTTTTTCTAGAAGAAATCCTGCTATTGACTCTTGAACTGCTTTCAGATGGTCTTTTTGCATGACCCTTCGTTTTAACCGTTCAGTCTTGCATTTGAAATAAAAGGAAAAGTATTAATATATATATATATATTCATTTAAAAAATAAATAAAAAATTGATATATACGTACTCTGAGGACATCTTTAGGAGTTCTTCTTATGTGCGCAGTGATAAATTCACAAACGTAGTATCCACACAAGTTATTATCTGGTGGCTGCCGCAAACACCACTGTACGAGAAGAAGATTATTCTCATCATCTCACACGTAAATTGAAGTACGATATAGTAATTAAACACGTGGGGAAGTGTATATAGTATAACTTACTGATATTTCAACTACATTAAGTGGTGCCTTGCAATCCTTGCGATGTTGCCGAATAAACTCTTTCCAAACCCTGTGCGACCAATAATGTACGATCGTTAATAAATTATGACAAAGTCTATTCAAGAATAGTTGTGCGCGAGAGATCGAA